GGATAGGAGGTTACTGGGATCTGTAGCAAGGTTATATATTCTATCATGGACCCGCCTGGCTGTTCTCACTTGTGCCGGGTCTACTCTGTGGGAGCATCTTAATTGACGAGAGTGTTCAGGCCCACTGGCCGTAATGATGGGGTTTTGGCTGCTTTTTAGAAATTCTAGTTTTCTTAAGTATTACTTTTACGCTGATCAATTCTTTTTCAAAACATGGGTGGCTGGTGGGTGCTCTGATGTGGTTTGCTCTTACACAAGTCGTGACAAGTGTCTATATCGTCCCTATCTATCCTCTGCCTTATATCTGTGTATGTTACTCTCTAGCAACACATCTAATCTTAGGCTATGTATAGGACTTACTTGTGTTGCAGGTGCCGTAAATCACAAAAACTAAAACCTAGAAACCCTTCAAAATCTGGCTATAATGCAATAATGGTATTGTCTGCCGGTAGCCTGCAGTAACAGTTAATTCAATATTCATTGATAACAGTTTCTCTTCATGAAAATATGACTATTTTGCTGTGATTGCTTGTAGAAGCAGTGTAAAGGGTTGTAATTTTAAGAGTTGACACTTTTGATCAGAACCACTTTAGTTTGCTTCAGCCTAGGGTACTTTCAGGAATAGGCCTACCAGTATCTACTAGATTGTTGTTGTCTGTGTGCTGACGTCAGCAACAAACTATCAGTTCTGTACTGTCATTCTTGACCACTACCCCTTCCCCCCCCCACCCCCTGTCAGCAACAAACTTGATTGTAAACTGGATGTAAACTTTTGATTAATTTTTGTAGCTTATGAGATGGTACCTCACGCAATGCTTTTTAGTATACCTCATGATCATGCATCTTTGACTCAAGTTATCGGTTATCGTAAGTGTAACAGTATAGAATACAATAATGTCATAGAGGTCAAGTTGAACTGTACTATGAGTTACGTCATGACATTACTTTCTGTGAGTAGTAGGTCAAGCATATTTTGACTTGGTGCATTATCAAGAGTAAAAATAATGACGAGTTACAGGTGACTTCTAATGATGAGGCTTGCATATAAAAATTTACTGTTGCCTGTTTCATGCCCGTACTGCATCTATTATATATTTGGCAATTTGATAGCACATGTGTCACTTTTCCCATAAAACTACGACAGCTACAGCTACAGAGTTGAAAGTTGGCAAGTACCTGCAAAAAGATAGATAGGTCCCCATGATGGAGCCCGATTTTTTATTTATTCATTTCCTGAAGTTAGAAAAATATATTTGACAAAAAGTTCCCGTCCTTCTGTGGCCTTTGTGATTATTCCACTGAGAAGCGAAGCAAATCTGCGTAGCTGTCGATCACAGTGGAAGTGCCGGAATTGATATTACGCGAGGCGCATTATGTTTGAGAGTATAGATCTAGACCAAATTTTTTGCATCTCTCAAGATTTATTGCTCCATTCCAGTAGAGTGTAAATATAGTAGGCCAATGACTTTCAGTCGATTTTAATTCACCGATCATTCCTTTCATCGAAAAAGGGCCCAGCTATGATTATGATTAAAATGACTACTTGTGATTGTGCCTCGGAATTAAAGGCCAGATGATTATGATAAAGTAAGTAAATGTATTTTTTCCATAGTGTTGGTTAGAGGTAAGAGACTCAGACTTCTGTATTTATAGAGGAAAGTCTCTGCAAACAAGGTTAATGCCTTCTCGAAGTAAGGCGAAAAATCTTGAATGTCTCATATGCAAGTTGCGCACGTTTAAGATCCCTTGGTGGTCCAAAATAGATTTATGAGAGTAGGTTTTGGCTACCACCCGGGCAAAGTTCAGAATTGATTCCTACCACACTGAAAGTGTTAAATGTGCCCTATGTGCTCATATGACCTTATGCAGTTGCTAGCGCTGTAATACACATACCCCAAAAACTAAAAACAAGGTAAGGACGTGGGGCGCAAAATGAAAGAGAGGCCTGTCTGTCATATATATCAATAATTATTTTTGCTATTGTTGAACATACAGTCAAAATTGTGTAAGTCGGCCATCCATTGTCCAGGAGAAGAGTGGTTGTCTTAAATAGGTGAACACCTTGCACAATGTTATTATTATGTAACCCTCCCCAAAAAACCCAAAAACAAAACAAAAACAACAAAATCCCGCCAAACAAAATGACAAAAAAAAATACCGCAAGGGT